TGAACAATCTAGCAGGAGATGGCCCATATCTATGGGACTGATTTGTGCTAATAACGCCCATTGTATGGACTGATAACAGCCGAAGCGGGTGAATAAAGTCACCCAAGCTGTGCCATTACCCAGCATACACCACTCCCTCCATAAATGCAATAAACGATACAAAAGTAATAGCCTATAATTAATTTATCTGCTGTATTTGCTGTTTCTCAGGTAGTTGCTTACATTATATAATTTATTGTGTTCTGTATACGTCACTACAATGTGATTTTGGAAATGTATAAATATACGGACAACAGGCTCTTCTGCAGCAATCTCTTGTCGTCAGTTTAGGGAGCTCTATAGTATTCAATGAGAGGACCCTGCACGTCAATTCTCGATGCAAGGGGGGTACCCTGCGCGTTGATAAGTGAAGCAGAGGGAGCCTGACCATGCGTCACACGTTTGACGAGTTGGGAGTGAGAACGTGTTGGAAGAGCAGGATCAGTGACTACAGCACCTACTGCAGGAAGCCACGACATGACTCACCGGGGTCCATGTGTTTGTCTGCTCTGCGTCTGCTCTGAAATGGGCAGATTTTAATAGCAAGCAAGGTTTTCTTTCCTCAGCAACGAAACCTTATATTCAGAGTTGAACAACAGAAGGCGACAGAGAGCAACACAAACTGTAGAGCGGTGTCTCTGTATTTTTGTGTTTCATATCTTTGCTTATATTGGTAAATGGGGCGGTGTTAATAGGATTTACGAAGGGGTCACATGTTTAAAATAAAGAAACCAGTATGTTTGTGGCCATAGCTTCTGGCAAAAATGTTCTTTATAAAATAAAATACAATACAGCTTTGATTTCATTCATGAGAGATTTGCATCAGATTAAATCCCAGTACGTCATTCACAACTGTTTAAATGTCGGATATCAATTTTTGCTAGACCATTTATTTATAATGTTATGGAATAAATATATATTCTTAGTGGTTATTTTCTATTCATATTGTTTTATAGAGGCCAGCAGGGCTGGACTGGGACAAAAAAATCAGCCCATTTTGACTAGAGACCAGCCCGACCAGGTATTATAGGAAAAACCATAAAGCCTTTGAATGAAAACAAGCGCTGTTGTCACAGTGATGTACACTGTCTTGTTGGTATATATGTATCAATCTAATAAACTTAAACCTACACCATCCTCCCTATTCTGGTATTCTAAACAGTACCTGAAAGTAGACTGCTTGGTCGAGTTAACCTCCTGAACTATCTACAACACATGGTGAAAACCTGAAAGTAAGACAGAGAAGACTAGAGGTGAGACATGATCATTACTGATTACTGATGACAGATTTAGATATATTTTCATAAACCATTTATTTGCCACATGTCAAACACCATGGCAGGGCAAAAATATTTTTTCTAACATTGCAGCCTTTAAAAAGTGAAAGGAGATAGAAAGACAGATGAGAAATAAAAACTTAATTGACTTTTTGATGGCATTTTACACACAGTACTGGTACAGAATCTAGAAAATGTGGGAAAATGCTGGCATCATAAACAGTACTTAGCTACTTCTGAAGAAATTGTGATGGGACCCTAAAAAAAATACTATGTACAATAATGGATTTCTATACATTTTACATCAGATAAAAACGTTTGTTGTAAGATTCAGAGCGATAAACAAACAAGAGAGAAAGGCCGATCAGCTGATCACTGATCAGTTTCATGATTGAAGTAGAAACAGGAGAGGGAGGGGAGAGAATGAGAGAAGAAGAGCCAGCTGTGCAGCAAAGACAGAATAACTCCAGCTTTGTGTCCATGACAAACTGTTCCTTTTCACCTCAATACCAAACGCGCAATATTTTCTCTGTATACGAGACCATTCCGTTTTTTGCGGGACGGTTGGAAACTCTAATAACTAACCTTATAAATAAGATAAAACAAGTTCAACATGAATAAAATCATAGCACCCGCCCAGCAGTATAGAAACTCCGTCATGCTAGCTACGCAGTACAAGTGATTGTAACTGACTGTAAAAAGTCAGCACAACGAAAATAAACTCCACCTAAACTTGGTTTATATCTGACCCAGATAGACTGCAGTCATAACTTCTTACCTGAAGTTCAGTTGCTCCTCCTGCCTTTCCATCATCCTCCACCACTTGCTAATGTTACTGAATCTGTGGAAGCTCCGCAATAGCCACCACCAAACAATTGAGTTATTTTTACACATCTCCCAGCATCTGGCCAATCCACCATCTTTCAGTGTTTATACCGTTACGGAAAAAAATGAAGAAAAAAAAAAAAAAACATCAGCCCATAAAAACGAAAAATCACCATCGGCCTGCCGGGTCCAGCTATGGAGGCCAGTATAGAAAAACGCCACTTTGAGTTGTAACGACTGCAGAGGGGTAAATGCAAACACGCTTACACACATAAGTAATAATTAGACTAATCCTATAGATCAGAGAGTCCCGAACATGATATTCGGAACCAACTTTGAATAACTAAAAGAACAATGGATGAACATATTAGATTATTGAGGCGTCGCAGAGAGGTGCTTTCCTTTTCTGTCCTTTACAGAAGAAGGAGCAGATTCCAGAACCACCGCAAAACCACGAAGGGTTGGCGAGAATCCAGGAAGCACCAGACGAACGGATCTGGGCATGAAAGGGGGACCCAAAAGAAGCTAGCGTCTGCAGCTCTCTTTTTCCGGTGTTGTGCCAAAAAGTGATTGTCTGCCAAAAAGTGATTTCCAATATTTGCCAAAAACTGATTGCTTGTATTTAAACTGCTATAAATAACTTGTTGGTGTATAATATGTGAAACATATGGCAAATGTATCCCTCATGAATGATATCACGTCATCTTGAGCAACAAACAACATTCCTGTAACAAGGTAGAAGCCGCAATCAGTTTTTGGCAGTGAGTTTTATGTATCCTTTATGTATGCAGTTAAAAAAAAAAATTGTTGACTTTAAAAATGTGTCTTTTAAGAGTAATCTGGCCAAGAGGACAGCTGAAATTGCAAAAAATGCGAAAATAGTTCTGTAAATATATTTTAAGTGGACAAAAGGGAGCTGATTGACTATAAAGTAAGTGCAATAACACAATCACAAAGATACTTGAGAAACAGGTAATTTTTAAATTTTATATATAACCACTTTCTAATACTTGTTCACCAAAGTCGATTTAGCAACATGCGTAACGATATTACACATAAAAAAACAACAACAAAAAAACACGCAAACATTGGAAATCACATTTTGGCACAACACCGGAAATGTAGAATAAAGATTATGTTTGAGCTTTGACCACACTGAGTTGGGTTTTTTCTCGGTCAGTAAAAGAATATAAAAGAACCGGATTTGATAATAACTAGAAGGAAAGATATCTCTTTGTTATCAGTATAATAATGCAGTGAGAAAATAAATTCCAAATAATTTATGCTTACAAGTAGAATTTGTATCATGTGCGACACTCAGTGTGTCCGACTTCACTTCAAGCTTTGGTGATCGCTTCATTTCTGCCAGTTATAGAAAGCAAGTATGTCAGCTTTGGGACTCAGATAATAATAATGATCCATGTCTTAGTTTTTTCTGATAACAGATAGATAAATATAATAATAAAATATAAACACAACAATAAAAATAACCAGAACACAACTTTAAAATGCTTTTCATTATTTTTAAGGGCTTTTTTCACAGTTGCACAATTTGAGCGTGTTTATGTGTTTTGTAATAAAACACCACAGTATTACCAGCACATAGATTTCAACCAAGCTTTACTCAAGCATACATATATATTTATTTATTTATTTATTTCTCTTGGTCTCAAATGAAATTAGCCAAATACGCAACAATTCCTCCAACAGCCCCTCCAACAATACCCAGGACTGCGTAGGCGAGCCAAGACAGACCTGCCATACCTGCAGAGAGAAAACAGGCTTCAGAACACCAGACAGCTGATCGAGCAGTTAGATGAAGTAACTGAGCTGCAGAGAAGAGGGGGAGGCTTTATCCTACGACGGAGTATTAGAGCCACAACAGAAATGTTGTTGATATGGACATTACTATTTGAACACAAACTGCCACATGCGCTATATCCGCTAAAGAAAATTCCTTATTTCGATGAGTTAGTGAAACAAATTGATCAGCCGTCTTGTGATACAACATTCATCCTCTTTGTTGCACGAGGGTGTAACCATCGATAACCTCGCATCTGTCCATTACCAGCCGTGGCTTTTTGTACAACCTAACACTTATCACCACACTGTGTTTATGAGCTTAAAGAAAAATCATTTCTTTCATTCTTACTAAAAACAGGTTCTGAAGCACAATTTCACAAACTCAGATGATATACAGTAGCAACCGTGGGAGCTTTTCTTCAGACACTTGTAATCTCCACATTTCGACTATATTTTCAAAATGATCGATAAGATTTTTCTTAAATAAATGGTCCTAAAACTCTTTCGTATTACCCTCACTGCAGCACGGTCACATGTTATTGTTTGGTGGCTCTTTAAGGTTTACAATAATAAAGATTTTTGAATAATGGGAAACTTTTTTTTTTTACCTGCTGACTGTAAAAGAGAAAACAGACTTCCTGCTGCCACTCCTCCTCCACTGGCTATAGCAGCTGCAGACATCCAGATTGCAGCGTAGGAGCCTGCAGCTATTCCAGCTGAGGTGAAACCTACAGCCCCCAGGACAATAGGAGCAGAGACCGCTGCTACACCTGACAACAGGAAGCTGGTTACTGACCAGGATGCTTCAAAGTGAATACATGTATGATACGTGTGACTTCACCTATGAGTGTTAGATATAAAAATACATAAATATTTATATATTATCAAGGGCGTAGATTTGGTTGTGGCATTGGTGGGGATGGATAATTCAACCACCGAACCCAGACATGGACTACTGGTGCCCCACACAACAACTCAACGTCCACTATGTGAAGGAGCCAAACACATGCCTTCTCCTCTCGTTAACTGAGATAAACTGCTGGCATATTTGTTGTACATCTATACTGTCCAGTATCTCCTGGTGGACATGACATACAGCAGCATTGTTTAATCTCATTTGAGTCATTGTTGACCTTAGCCATGTTTTTAGTCTTCTGAGGGCACTGAAGCTTCTTTCAGCCTCAGCCGAGGATACTGGGATGACTAAAAGCAGCCTGACAAGGCTTTCAACTTGATCAAACAGACCCCTCACCTCCACCGGCATTCCCCTAATGATAGTAGACACTTCTGTACTAGATGTAAAGGTATATTTGGATCTGAACATGGCTAGCTGAACCTTTAGACTGTCTGTTAATTTCTGGGTAACGATCAATAATGCCATCCACCTCTCCAGTGAGCAGAATTTCCTCCAGTTTCTGCAAGACACCTAGATCTGGCTGGTTGAACCTCTCCTGAAACTGAACATCAACACTATCCAGCACTTTGTAAAACTCTGCTCTGTAATGCTCTTCAGGTGACTTGGGAGTGTGCTGGCTAGCCCCACCAACATATCGTTTTGGTGGCCGTCTCTGGTGAGGAATCTGAATGGGCTCAATACCAAGGGAGTTCACCATTTTCGCTGCTTTGTCAAACATCTGATGGAATCTTTCTTCATTTCTTTTCAACTGTTGAGTGGATGTGAAACACTCTATTGAGCATCTCATTCCTGCAATGGTTGCAGTCAGTTTTTGCAGGGACTTGTTCAGACATTCTAGCTCCTCAGTAACTTCCAATGCCATAAGAAGTCCAAGCACTGTTCTGCCCTTTTCAAACCTCTCATGCATTCCATTTGCCCTAGCACTTGTGCTAGATCCAGCTGCTGCCATCTCCTGTAAACTAGTCAAAATACTGTCATACTGAGACAGCACTGCTTTAATAGCAGTTCCCCTTACAGTCCACCTGGTTGGGCAGAGAGTTCTGAGTGATACTGATGGTTCCTCTGAATCTGCTGCAACTGCTGAAAACATAGCTTTGAATCTTCCAGACTGTTTGCATAATGACCCCAGATCATGTACCCACTCTAAAGCATCACGTATTACAGAACTAGCCTGACATGCAGCCTGTGTAATTAAGTTCAGGCAGTGAGGCCCACAATGCACGTACAATGCCAGTGGCTGTTGTTTCTTCACTTCTGCCTGAGCACCTGAATAAGCTCCTGACATGTTCACAGCACCATCATAGGTTTGACCTCTTAAACATGACATCGGCAAATTCAGCCTCAAAAGCACATCCACAGCTGTTCTAGCTATCTCCACTCCAGTAGTTCCTGAAACCTCATATAAGCCTACAAAAACCTCATGTGGAACCAGGTCCTCATCCACATATCTAAAACATATGGACTCTTGCTCTCTTCCTGTGATATCTTGAGTACCATCTATGATGATAGAGAACTGCAGGACAGTTAGAGACTGGATAGTTTGTGCAATATTTCTGACAATGCAGTTTCCAAACAACTGCAAAATCTCATTTTGCACTGGTGGAGCGGTATAGTCATGACAACAGATCAGCCAGTCAGAAAGACAGACATCATCTTTGGCGTTATATTTTAAGTGTTGAAGAGGTTACCATCTTCCTTGCCATGTCCTCGCAGTGCCAAACCCTGTCTGATAAGAAACTGCATTGCACCCACAATGCTTTGTAAGCAGTGTCTGGCATTTTGCTGTTGTTTTGAACAGGCAGTTGATAGTTGTGAATTTATTGGAGCTGCTTCTTGAGCGCTAGCTGTGACTGCATGGTGATGGGATTGAGAATTTTGATGCCTTTCAAATCTTTCAACAGCATTCTTCCAGTTAGTAAACCCCTTTGATGAGAATGCAGGGTCTGCCTTTTTTGACATAATACTTTTCTGAACAGTATATGTTTTCACACAGTAAAAACAAAGAATTCCCTTCACTGCATGGCTATAATGAAGCCATGGATACTCTTTGTACCACCTCTCTTGAAAATGGAGGACCCTACTGGACAATGTTTGAACTGGGATGCATTTAGGGTTTGGCTGGTTTGGCTTATTGTCCAAAATATCTTCACTTGTACTCTGTTCTTCATTGTTGTGACCTTCACTGCCACTCTCCCTGCCGCTCTCCCTGTTGCTCTTCCTGTTGCTTGCTACAGGTGTACTGGTTTCCTTAGAAATAGACCACATCATACAATTAGCTATACTGTAACACTGGTCATATGACAATACATAGCTTATGTAACTTCATGAGAACAGAGAACCACTTATTGTAGATAGATTACAGTGGATATAAAAAGTCGACACACACATGTTCAAATGCCATTTTTTTGTCATTTAAAAAAATGACAGCAAGTAGAGCAGGGCGATATGGCCAAAAATATTTATCATGATATATATTTGAAAATTTGCGATAACGATATAACTGACGATATAATTGATGCGAGATAAAATACAACTCCACAACATTACTAGCGCAAAAAGACAACCTTCCATTTATTTTCACTTAAACAAGAAGCTGGTTTTTATGTACATTAAAGCTTTATAAAAAT